TATATATATATATATAAAATACTTTTAGTGAAAACACTTTGCTGATTTTTTATTACAAAATAATTTTAGTGTCTAAATTAGTTTGGAAAATAAAAATGCATTATAAGTTTTTTAATTTATTTTTCAAGGATATGTTTATCTTGTTTGTTACCCTTTTATCCAAAAAACAATTAATTTACTAAATTATTTTTTATATAAAAATAAGGATTTTACAACCTGTTTTAATTTAATTTTTCAACAATGTTCAAATTTTATAATTGTAAATTTTATAATTTATAGACATATTGCTTTCTCTTTCTTATTTATTATCTTCTAACTTAATTTTATCGAAACTTTTCTTTTTATTTGAGTAAAAACTGAACTTTTTTGATTCACATTAATATCTATGTATAAATTGATCATAAGAGTTATCTTACAGGTAAATATAAGAGTGAACTTTTGACATAAAAACACATCTTTAAAAGAAAATAGACTTCAACATACAACTTTTTCATCTATGGTGTCAACGCTTTTCTAAAATAATTTATTAACTTTTGCATATTACTAACTTTTATTCTATTACATGACAAAAAATACTATTTCTAAAGTATATATACAAAAGAACATATTTATAAAAGAGTATTTTTCAAACATAAATTAGAATATATATATATATATATATGACATGCTGAATATACATATATATGTATATGATTTGAAAAAATACATTAAAATAAAGACTATATGAAAACTAAAAATTATAAACTTAAAACTCACCACACAAGTTATATATCAGTATAACACTAGTCTTATACAAAACTTAGAAAATTTCACAGAAGTCCAAGATACATGGCAGAGATGAAACAGGTGAATAAAGAAAATAAAGCAGAATATAATAACACTATTATGAAGTGATACATTGATTAAGAGATGCTAATACGATTTAGCTTGAAGAGTTTGGTGATAGACATGACAGTAACAATTAGGAGGAGAATGATGCCAAGGAAGGAGGTAGCTAGGGCAACACTACTTCTGTTGCAGTATTCTTGGAATTTGTCACATATCTTCTCCCACTTTGCATGTGAATTCCCATTCCTTCCTATTTCTGCCATGAAAGTTGCTGCACCATCTCCACTTGCTGCCAGAGCCACTGCCATCTTCACCAAAAATATTTCACAGTGTTTAGTCATACAACTCTTGATATATAAACAAATTCAGAATTTCATGTTGGCAATAGATTCTAGTTAGATTCTTCATTCAAGTGAAAAAAATATGCAGACAAATTTGAAGGTGTCTGATTAAAATTTAAGTATATATACCACGTCTAAAATTTCAGTTAGTCCAAGACGAAGTCCTTTGTAATCATATTGTGGTCCTAATATATCCACTGCTATCACCACCAAATTATAGAGACTGACGATTCCATTCACCATCACGAAGAATCTGCAGCACAATAAGGAAGACATAGTACCTATGTCAAGAAAATTATAAACGGATAGAGGAAAATTGAAACGATGATTTGTAGAACTAATTACACGAATGCTGGAGTGTGGAGAAACTTAGCAGTGAGAGTGATTGTTAGTGGGTTTGTGCCAATGGTGGCCACTACCAAGCTTTTGGTTTGTTTGTTGAGTGCCATAATGAATGTAGCAGATGCTGTGGCAAAGAATGAGAGAGCCCTAAGGGACAAATTGATCCATTCCTTCTTCTGTTGTTTTGTATCAGACGCAGTGTTGAAACTGATGTCTAGTTTTTCTGCATTTTCTGAGGCCATTCTGCAAGTTTTTGGCTGTTATTGGAGTGAGAAAAATGATTTCAGATGATGCAAAATGGTGAGGGATGAGTTATTATAGTTAGGAAGAAAGCAAAATTGATGAACTATAAGATTGTTAAGTCTAAGAAGTTAAATGTGGATTCTATGTGTGAATTCTTAAGGTTGTCGAACCAACTAAATTTAGTTGTTGTTAATTGGTGAGAATCCTTCGTTTTAATCTTATATTCTTTTGATACGACTCTATATGAATAGGATAACTTTGTTCAGGTCGTGAAGTGTGATTTATTCTCTCAAGAGTGTGTTAAGTCTTTGGTTGGCAAGGTGGACTTCGTTAATGCTTGTTTAAGATTTAAAAGGGCACTTCTTTCTGCACCCCACCGTTTCAATTTGCACCTTGTAAATTTTAAAATTCCAAATTTATTCTTGTTTTAGCTTTATTACTGAATTATCTTATTATATTATGACCTCTTTACATTATTTTTCTTAGAATTGTCAAAAGGATTATCTGATCCGGCCAATTATCACGTCACTACAAGAATGATTGAGATTACCGACGGTCATAAGTCGTCGGTAATGTATAAAATCCGTCGGTAATTAGCATTTACCGACGGCTTACCGACGGCCAATATACCGTCGGTAAAAACGTTGTCGGTAAACTTTACCGACGGATCTTTCGTCCGTCGGTAATTACCGAAGGCTTTTGGCCGTCGGTAAAGCCTTCGGTAATTACCGAAGGATCTAGGCCTTCGGTAAATCCGTCGGTAAATGTCGCGACCTGGTTCATCTTCTTCCTCTTCCTTCATCGCTGTGTCAATTTTTTTTTACATTTTCACGAACTCCGCCACCAAAACGGCATCACGCGAGTAACAAATTAATGTCCAAAGTATCAAACAACCATTTATTTTCAATAGTTAAAATTATAGGGAATCATGGACAGTTTTTCTACAATTCTCAGATTTGTAAGATAAATGTTCCTAATCCAAAAAATATGGTGGAGAGAACGGTGGTAGAGGG